TATTTAATAAAACTGAAAGAAAGTTGATTGTATCTCGAGATGTAATATTTATGAATATTAAACAAGAAAAGAAAGAAGAGATTAATAAGACTAAAATCCTTGTAAAACATGAAGAAACTAATTCAGACACTGAATTACAAGATTCGGAAGAAGAAAGTGAAGTTATTGAAAAGAGATCAATAAATATTGAAGAATTAAAAGAACAAGAAGAAGAAGAACAGACAAAGAAGAAAAGTCAAGAACTTCATGAAAAGCAACTTCAAGAACAACGAGAAAAGAAGAAAGAAGAGAGTCAAGATAGTGCACAGCAAAAAGAAAATCAAGAACGAGAAAGAAGAGAAAGAAGATTACCAAGAAGATTTTTGGATTACATATTTCTTTCGTTCGAGGAAGACAAAAGGTTCAGAAAAAGAAAGATGGTTGGAAGCAATTGAAGAAGAAAAGAAGTCACTGAAACATAATAAAGTATGGACACTTGTACCGAGAGAAGAAGCCAGAGAAAAAGAAAAAAGAATTTTAAGTAATAAATGGATTTTTCGAGTAAAAGATGATGGTCGTTACAAGGCAAGAATAGTTGTACGAGGATGTGAACAAAAATACGGCTTTGATTACGAAGAAACCTTCAGTCCAGTAGTTAACATGAGTTCCTTAAGATTGGTGCTGGCTTTAGCAGTTCAAAAGATGAAGGTTATAGAAAAATTTGACGTTAAAACAGCTTTTCTAAATGGAAATTTATCAGAAGATATATATATGGAAATACCAGAAAGGTTTAGTAAGAAATCTGATAAAATATGTAAGTTAAAAAAGGCTTTATATGGCTTAAAACAAGCACCTTTAAGATGGAATCAGTGTCTTACGGATGTTCTGAAGTCTAACGGTATGAAACCTACTAAAGTGGAACCTTGCATCTTTGTGAACAGAAGCTATACTGTTATTTTGGCATTATATGTTGATGATGGAATTGTCATTGGAACTGATAGTTCTGATGTTGAAAAACTAATTTCGAGTATAGGTAACAAGTTCATAATTACTAGAGATTTTAATCCGACATCTTTTCTAGGCATACAATTTAGGTGGAGTAAAAATCAAGTTAAACTAAAACAGACAGAGTATGCTAAGACATTAATAATCAATTTTGGAATGGAGAATGCAAAGATATCCAAGATTCCGATGACTATGAATGAGAAAGATAACAGACCGGAAGATTTGTCTTCAAAATTTCCTTATCGAGAATGCGTCGGTAGCATATTGTATTTAGCTAGTAAAACTCGTTCGGATTTGTCGTATGCTAGTGGTTATGTAAGTAGATATCCGTGGAAAAGACATTAAAAATGTAAAAAATCCGCCAAGTATATTTTTTAACGTTTTTACCTCGAAAAAAATTGTATCAGATTGAAAAAAAATGAGACCTTTGTATTATCTTAAATATATTTATAATATGACTTTGAAAAAAAAACTGTTGTTAAATCATATAAAAATCTAAGTGGCGTTATCTTCAATATATAACAATCACACAAATTATTTGTAATTAATATACC